GCCGTGATATATTTTCCAATATACACAGGGTGCCATCGCTTAAGTATTGGCATCCGGTGCCTTTTAGGATGCTCCGGGGTACCCAAGGCATCTGCATGGCTTTGCAGATATAACAGGATTTACAGAAGCTCAGTGCCTTTCTGGAGGAGCAAACGGAATTGAGATTGATATCCTGAGGGCCATAAAATGGCACCAGACACTCATGTTGAGGCATCTGCATGCCACCCCTACTGCCATTGACTGTAATGGTTGCTTAGGCACTTAGTACACATGTAGATACTTATTTATAGACACCTAAATGCAGTTGTCTTCACCTGGAGCTGAATCCTGCTCTTCAATCTCTACAGAGTAGACCCGACCAACAGCTGCAAAAGCCATTGCTATTTTTAGTGCAGGATTTTTTTTCCCTTTAACAGCATACAGACTATTACTGTTGTTACACGTGGGAGCTCTTATCAGGATCTGATTGCACTAAACACTCAAACAGAAATAAGCAAATTTGACTTCAACTTTTCAAAATGCCAAGAAAAAAAAGGTTCAGAATTTAAAGTGTTCATGACAAAATAGGCTCAAATGTTTAGATAAACTACTTTACATGAGTACACCCAGGTTTTAGATGACAGAATGACTAGCCGTTACAGGTGATGTAGGCTGTCCATTGAAGACATATAAGCACACTGGAATTTGTACAGAAAGACTAGTTAAGTGTTTTATAAACAGACTCCATATGGCACTCCCAAAATTCAAGCAGCTCTTACTGCTAAATTGAAACTGAACAAAATAATAGCAAACTCAAACCAGGGTATGTTTTGATGTTTCATTCAGAGAAACAAATTCAAGAATGCTTCCCCTTCTACTTCATGAGGCAGTGCAGCCATTACATTAGTTTAGTTTGTAACATTACCTCCATGCGAAAAGAAAAGAAAAGAAAAGAGAAAAAAGAAAAGAAAAGAGAAAAAAGGAAAAAAATTCTTCTTCCATAAAAAAGGAAAAATTACCTATAACTGGGCTGTCAGTGTAGCACTCTATTATTTCCTCAGGATTCAGCCTTACACATGGAATAAAATGGTAATGCTCTTTTTTAAACTCTAGCAGTTACTGAAATAACAAAGGTGGGATTATAAGCAAAGACAGCTTTCAGCTTGATCCTGACCTTAAAATATAAAATACCTCAACTTGTCAAAGTAAGATTGCACCCTTGAAAGATATGGACTTGCATAAATGGACAAACACCTTGGGAGAAGACTTTTAATGCTAGGATTAATTTATTAACTACCAGCACTACTCTATTAACTGCAGAGATACATTGATCCTGAAGTCCTGTTTTCAAAAGGAAACATACCCACCCTAACCCCATTCAAAATGTCTCTCCAAATCGCATCAGTCAAACCAACAGGTCTGTTCAAGAGCTGTTCGCAATCCTTAAAATAAAGGTCCAGGCAGTTAACTTCCACACCATGCTCCCTGGCAGGTAAGCTCGTACCCCCCACATTGATGGACTAGTGCCATCAGATAGTTCCATTCCTAGCCACAGCCCATTTCTTATTGCAACTGAGACCTCCAGTGAGCCCAAGACCCAAAACTAACTGGGTATGTCTTATCAACAATGCACAGGAAAAAAACCAAAGGAGCTAATTGAGTTACAATATGGTGAGGTATAATGAAAAAATATATAATGCAGATGAGATTTAATAGGAAAAAGAATGTAAGTATCATTAGGCAAAGATGCAGGCTCTAGGAAACTGAAGGAACATTGAGAGAAGTTCTTCATCCTGGAATAAGGCAAGATTGGCTTGGTGACCTGCTTGCTAAAGGGTAGAGCCTTTCTCATGAAACTCTAAGTCCTAACGAAGATAAACTCTCTTCCCTTGATCAGTGGATTTGAAAATTCACCATCAGGGATTTTAGAGCAACAGATGGCACATCTGTCCCCAGTTTCTTTGTTATTTTCCTGCCCTGTAAGAACATCATGACAGTTTTGCAGCTACATACTGTACATTTTGCAATATAATTTGGAAGAACTTTGCAATTACAAGATTGTCTCCACTTCTCATAGAAAACTTCATATTTTGAGGGTGAGGATAATTTCACAGTAACTCACGTTTCTTCAAATTAAGATTCCTCAGGGTCACACAATAAAATGATCCCTCTAACTTAACTAGCCAGCTATTCTGAAATTTAGAGAACAAAGTTCACCTGGGGATAAATTAATGGTTAACGGCCATGCGGATGCACCTATATAATCAAACTTCTCTCCTCTGTTTTCCCACATCGCTTCGCATCTGAACTGCATGCTGTTCCGAACACCAGTTGCCTGGATGTTACCTCCCTGTTGAAAGGCTGGCAGGCAGCCACGGGGCCCCATGTGTGACTGTGTACTCCTGGAACCGCACACCCCGCACTCCAGCAGTATTACAGCAGCTGTGTCTCATGCATTTATTTGTACGGAGCCACGCGGAGGTCACGGGCTTTGCAATCTGGGGAGAGGAGACCACGTAGTCCTGCCTCAACAATGGCCGTGATGATGTGAAGATACACAGATGTATATCAAAGTGATGCTGAGAGGGGTCACTCCAGGAACACTGCTCAAAGCTGCAGCAAACGAAGGGGCTCTGGCACAAGGATTTAAAAACAAACCTCTGGAAAGAAGCATAATCCTGGCAACACTCCAAGTACCTTTCCCAAGTACCTCCGAGCGCCAGATGGACTTTTTCCAGCAAAGCCACCGATTATGTATAACGCAGACAAAAGGCACAGAGGAGTTCGTGGTCCTTAACCAGGGCTCTAGTGAGAGCGAGCTTCCTTTCCCCACACCGGAGTCCAAACCAGAACCTGGAGAACAGAAAGCTCTTTCACCCCTGCACGCACGCACGCACGCAGAGTGGAAGCGTCTAGCCAGTCCTAAGCAAGTCACTGTGGGACTGCAGCGGTTTCAAATAAAAATAGTGTGATGGAGGTATGTTTATGGAAACATCAAATACAGAAAAGAAAGGCAATGTAAAACATACTTTGCTTTTTATAAGGCATATTTAGCATTTTATAAGGTATACTTTCCCAAGTGAGGAATGGAAAATTGCAAAGACATTGAAAGCACTCAGCCAGGCTCAGTGTTATTAAACCTTGGTTCAGTACAATCACTCCCAAGCACTGCTCACTGCACAGTGCATTCTGTGTGTGCCTGCAAGTAACAGAAAAAGATCTTAAGAGAAGAATGATGCTCTCTTTTGGCATGAAAATCACAGGCTTTATCAGTATTGCAGATGTAAATAATTTTCCCATTCCCATCTGCAGCAACCCTGGCAGATTGTGCTCGTGGGTAGCATCATTGAATCATTTGCTGCTTTGTCTCTTGCCTTTCTGCATAAGCCCATTACCACTTCTTGGTGGCTTACATCAGACCAACGTCTTCCGCACAGGAGGTGGGTGTGCAAAAGTGCATGTGCCCATTTCCTGCAATCCCCTACCTCCCAGCCTATGCCTAAAACCCCGGCTAACTATTCCACAGCTTTACCCTGATTACTCTTAAAAAGTTCTCAACTTTTCACCCTGAATCTTCCTCACCACAGTTTAAGCCACACTACCTCTTATGTGATACCTTCCCCACAGCTGGAGAACTGCAACAGCCTTTTATAAAGTATTTGAAGACTACTATGATGTCTCTCCTTCAATCATCTCTAGGCTCAAACTATTTGCAGGAGTTGACTCTGCGGCAATGCTCTGAAATTTTCTGTTTCTCACACAGAAGTGAGGCCGTCTCTAAGAGGCATTTTAAAGAAAATTGCACTGCACATATTAGGAGAAGGCAACACCAGATGCTTGTCCAGAACCCTAAATGCTTCTTCTGGGAGAACATCGGTGCTGTTCTTCTGCAGAGGCATGTGCGAGAAAGCAGACAGCGTAATTATTTCAAAACAGTTACTATTCAGCAATGCAAACAATGCATAAATCTCCAAATTCAGGATTAAAGCTGAAAGATCCTGCTCTGCAGCAACTAAAAATGCAAAATGACATTAGGAAAACCGTAAATACTTCCCAGAATATGAAGTCACGTTCATAATTTTTGTATCTGCAACTGAAATGTAATATCTTAAGTCAACTCAGTAGAAGAACTGTGCTCAAAATTATTTCATCACAGAATCATATAATTTATTTACTTCTCCCTCGAGAATCTGAATACAGCAGAGGCCACTATTTTCCAATTTTCAAAAGCACTTTTAGTCTAATCTATTATATACATTTCTGAAGTGTCTATCACTTCAGTTTCTTGGCATGCTTTAGATAATATTTGCAAGTTAAAGAATAACATATCGCGCTCCCATCCCATATCCCACCAAAATCTTAGCTTTTGTGGATTCCTAAATGAGAGCTACCATCTTGGGTAACTTTTGGGGAGCAATTCCACAGGTACAAAGTCTGACTGTACAAAGTGCTAAGTGACGCCTGAGCAATGTTGAGCATCTTTGTGTTCTGCTAAATTAAACTGAGTTTACGTTGAAGGACAGGACACAAAACTGGGAGAAAGCCTTAACAAAATTTTACTTTGCATTAATGGTTTATAGAAGCGAGTCTCGTCCCTAGTGGGATATATGCTGATGGAGAGCATCAATGCCCAAAGCCTCTTTTATCAGTTATTGCTGAACGCAGCTCCGTGTCTGTAGCTGCGGACAGCCCCAGCTCGCTGGACAACTCCTTCCGCACAGCAGCTAGAGGTGAATCAAAGGTGAAAACCAGTAAAAGGGCTGTTTTTCAGTCACTGGAACTTCCTTTCCAGACCTTTCAGACCTAAAATGGGCAGAGGAAATGGTGTTTTAAGACAAGCACAAGCACGGCGCTTCCTCCAGCCACCGCGAACGGGCCAGGCCTGGGTGTGTGACCGGCGGGACACTGGGGAGATCTTCCCCGGGGAACCCAACCCGACCCGCACCTAAAAGCTAAAGCAGGGCGGTGTCAGTACCACAGCCACCGCCGCCCTCCTCAGCCCTGCCTCTCTCCCGCTGCAGACTCTGCCGGGACCGCGGGGGCGGCTGGGCGGGAAAGGCCGGCTGGGACCGGCTGGGACCGGCTGGGACCGGTTACGGGGCGGTGCCGCGCACAGCCCCGCCCCCTCTCCCCGCGCTGGGGCACGGCCGTGCCCACAGCGCCCCCTGGGGAAGCGGGCGGCCGCGATCGACGAGCTCGGCCGCTCGACGGAGGGTCCTGCTCGGCGGTGCGGAGTGCGACTGTCTCTGCCGGAAGCGGGGCGGTTGTCGCCGGTGCTGGGGGGGGAGGAGGAGGCGGCGGCGGCGGCGGAGCAGCAGCAGTTCTACCCGCGGAGCTCCATCGAAGATGACTTCAACTATGGCAGCAACGTGGCCTCGGCCAGCGTCCATATCCGCATGGGTAGGGACTGGGGATGAACGAGACCGCCACACGCCGCCTCCCCCGGCCCCCCCAGGCCTTGCGGAGAGGCC